CAGGCATTTCTTTTTCTCCAGTGATAAGTTTACTATAAACATCTTTTAACAATTTATCTCCACTTCCTGGGTCGCACCTTTCGGTGTTTAATAATTCTTTGTAAATTTTTGTTTGTTCCTCAATTATAAAATCAATATCTGTTTTATATGCCCCGTCATCACATTTAATTCTTACCCATAGTTTTTTTAACCATTCTTTTCTCTAATTGAAAGAAATAAGAGGAAGGCACTTCACCTTCAGAAAAGCACTTGCTTTTGGATCTCAGAATTGCGGCTTCTGTTTTTTCTTTCAAGATATCCTTTAGTTTTTGCTCAGTCGCATTCAAATATTCTTTATCCGCATTAGGGTTATTTTTCATGCTTTCAATTTCTTTTTCTAACTTTTAAGATTTAATTTTGCTAGTATTAAAGGTTTTGGATATTTCTACACAGATTGATTTAATTTTATTTTTTGTCAAATTCCACCATTTGTGAACATTGTCACATTTTTCTAAACTTAATCTGTGATAAATTTTCACTAATAAGAAAATAATCGATTCTAGACTTTGAATTACTTCTATGAAATGTATAACATTTTCTTTCTAAGTTTCTATCTCTCCAAATGTCTTTTAGTTCGTTATCTCTTAAATTTTTTTTTATTATTTTTACTCTTAATGACAGGGGAAAAGGTTATGACCTTGACCTGACCATGACTCTAACAAAAAACGGTCAAAACTAATCTAACTAATACCATTACTTAGTAATATTGTCTTCTTTGTTCTGTGAAAATTTCATTAATTTTTAAATAAAACAAATACAGTTTTGTGTGAGAAGAATCCTACCTTAAATAATGGATTGCTAGTATTGTTGTCAAGAAACAAAACCATAGAGGTCCCAGAATAGTCCTACAGCAACACCGTTCCTTGACAACAAAACTATTTTAGTAAAGTTTAATAGTGCACAAAGTTCCACTGAAATAAGACTAAACGTAGGAGAAAAGCATTTGAAAGAAATCTTTACAGACACTGAGACAGACAGACAGCTAGACAGACGAACTGACGATGGACATCTTACTATCACTAAAGCCTTTCTAGCTTCTGAGCAGTAGGGCTAAAAATGTAGAGAACAACTATATATTTTTTAAAAAAAAACTTATCTTTTCTTTAGTCTTTTCCGAGAGCCTTTTTTAAAACTATACTTTAAAGCATAAATGTTCATTTCATCATTTTTATTATATACTAAGCGTTGTTCAGAACTGGTGTGGCATATGAACATAAAATTCTTTGACTTTAAAAGTTTGTCAACGCAAATAAATATTGTACGGGAAAAATGACACATTGATTTTAAACGGTCAATTATTGAAGTTTTGCATCAAAAACAAAACACCTGTATTTTATCTATACACATTTGGATATTGATAGTGTAATTAAAGTTTGTCATGTAAAGTGTAGTTCCTATTTTACCGCATTTGGCAAGGTTTCGTTTGCGCAATAGGGGATTGGATATTTATTTTGTAAGATTTCCAATACAATTCATAAAATAAAGTTACGATGAACATGAATATCTTAATTTAAATCTTCTGGCTTTACAATGTTAATGAAATTCATGAAAAATGAAAATTCGTTTATTCACTTTAACCACAAATTTGGTATAAAATAACATTATTTATACATTATATATACAAACTGAAACCAGTATATTTATTGGTTTCAGAAAACAGGTACAGAAAGAATGGATAACACCAGGTATATGGAAATTCATTTACTACGGACAAGAACTAAAGAAGAGGTTGTGTAACACACATTCAAAAAAAATTCAAAGAGAAATTAGGAGAACAATACTCAGAGAGTAACTAAGAAATAAAGAAGGCCAAAATGAGGGACCGTAAGAACTTCATTGAAGATATGGCAAAAGAAGCTGAAAAAGCAGTATCAGAATAGAGAATGGACGATGTTTATCAGATCATCAAGAAGCTAAGTGGACAAAAAAGAAAAGCATGTATATGAATTCTTTTTTCACAACCACATTTTAATGTTAATAAATGAAGACATTAACAATTATTTCACTATACTGAAACAAAATGCGACAGCCCGCCTTTCAAAGAACATTATCAACAGTTACAATTTCTGTTTGGGAAAAGATGCCCACTCCACTGATATTACGTGCATGCTCTCTCTCTCTCTCTCTTTCTCTCTCACATATCCTTGGATTGGTTTCTTAATCGTGTTAGTTATATAACCATAGAAATTTATGGGGAAATTTATGGGGGGTTTTTGTGAATGAAAAACTTCAATGTAGTAAGTGAATTTTTTTTTTACTATTTTAGAATGAAATACGGAGTTGGCATTGCTAGCTGGTCGCAACAAAATACAATGTTATAATTTTAACAGAAAAATTAATTAACATAAATGTGCATAAATACAAAAAGTGTTAAAACTACCCAAAATACAACTGAATGGAAAAGATATTAGAAATACATTATATTTTACATCCCTGGGAATCCGAAGTGTAGTAACATCAAATGGCAGAGTTGAAAAGGACATATCAAGATTGGGTAAAGCCTCTGGATCCTTTGTCAATCTTAAGGTTATATGGAAGTCATGCAGCATCAGCGGGCATACTAAGATCAAAAAATGTAATAGTTGTGTTCTAATTGTCCTTATGTATGGTGCTGAATGTTGGAGGATGACAGAAAGTGACATAAAAAGCTATCAAGTGTTCAAAATGCGTGACTCAGAAAGATCTTGAGGATAATTTGGCCAACAAAAAATTCAAAGAAGGATATGAAGATAACGTACAGTAATCAATATCAAAGTCCATATAACAATACAAAATATAGGAACAGAGCAAACACGGACCTCTGAAACATCAGAGATGGGATCAGGTGCCATGGAGGAGTTAGCATCCCCTGCTGATCGGTCACACCGCCGGGTGCTCATTGTCATGATCGTGAAATAACAGAGAAAATCCGTCGTCAATTCAGTGTATTCATAATGGAGTAATAATGTGTATGAAAAAGGTCAGTCAGCATTTGACTCAATAATAAATTGTACTTACTGACAAGGTCATTGTATCAACCATAGAACTTATATAGACCATAGAAATGATGACTTTAATCGAGACAGCTAATATTCTTGTTTCATCAACTTGCTTGTCGATAATTTACCTCGTTTCAGAAATTGTTCAAACGTAAAGCATGCTCTTGCGTATCGAATGCACATGATGAAGGTATAATGCTGCATAAGTAAGGGAAGTTGACGATAGAAAAGTTAAAGTCGTCACGTTTATCATATGACTTGGTTGTTTAGATACCATTAACTTCTTTTTAAAGTAAAACATCCAAGTATAAAACAGATGTGTACGAAACAGGAAAAACAACAATCATGAGGACCTTACTAATAAAATGCAGATGAAGCTGGATAAACGATGTTTTGAGAAAGCCAACAAATGACTTCACAAGACTGGCTCTGAGATGGAAGAGAAGAGAAAAGGGGGGGACCGACCGAAAACGACGTAGAGGCTAACGGTGGAAAAAAAAACTTAAGGACATAAAGCTTACCTGGGTAGAGGTGGAGAAGATAGCTAAAAATAGGGAGGAATGGAAATCCCTAGTCCTTGCCGTATGTGCCACCGGGTGCAACAAGGACTAGGTAGATATGTAGGTATATACAAACTAATCAAGGGTTCATACATAACATAAACAAGAGCCCCAGGGGCCACATCGCTCACCTGAGCACATCGGCTAGGAAAAAGCAAATATCAGATCAGAACTGAAAGTTTACTGAAGTGGGTGTGTGTGTGTGGGGGGGGGGGGCTTGAATTTAAATACTATTTGAGAATGCCTTCATACACTACCTGGGGATGATAACACATGAGTTTCATCTTTCCTGTCTCAATGGTTCTTGAGAAAAAGATTTTTAAAGATTTTTCCAATATACTCCTATGTAAAACATTGATCAGATAATTTGGCCTCACCCTACCTCGGGGGGTCATGATTTTAACAAACTTGAATCTACACTAAATAAGGGTGATTCCACATTACTTTCATCTTTCCTGGCACAGTGGTTCTTGAGAAGATTTTTAAAGATTTTTGCTATATACTCCTATGTAAAACATTGATCAGCCAATTTGTCCCCACCCTACCCCGGGGTCATGATTTGAACAAACTTGAATTTACACTACCTGAAGATGATTCCACGTGAGTTTCATCTTTCCTGGCCCAGTGGTTCTAGAGAAGATTTTCAAAGATTTTTACTATATACTCCTATGTAAAATTTCAATCGGCCATTTTGGCCCCACCCTACCCCCGGGGGTCATGATTTGAACAAACTTGAATCTACACTACCTGAGGATGATTCTACATGAGTTTCATCTTTCCTGGCCCTGTGGTTCTTGAGAAAAAGATTTTTAAAGATTTTTCCTATACATGTATATATATGTACTCCTATGTAAAACTTTGATCGGCCATTTTGGCCCCACCCTACCCCCGGGGGTCATGATTTGAAAAAACTTAATTCTACACTACCTGACCATAAATCCACATGAGTTTCATCTTTCCTGGCCCAGTGGTTCTTGAGGAGAAGATTTTTTAAAAATGCCATTAATTTTTCCGTAATTCATAATTATCTCCCCTTGGAAAAGGGCATGGCCCTTCATTTGAACAAAATTTAATCCCCTTTACCCAAGGATACTTTGTAGCAAGTTTGGTTGAAATTGGCCCAGTGGTTCTGGAGAAGAAGGAAATGTGAAAAGTTTACTACGACGACGACAGACAACAGACAAATTTTGATCAGAAAAGCTCACTTGAGCCTTCGGCTCAGGTGAGCTAAAAACGACCAAAATCTGCTAAATTAACACTTTACTATTACTAATCTATTGAGAACAATGAATACATGTATACATGTAGATGCACTAACATTTCAGGTATATTTATATATCTCTCTCTCTCGTTCTCTCTCATACTCCTGATGTACAGTAACTTAAATAATAGTATGTTTTATTTGTGTCTGTTAATATGTACATGTATTTTAATCATTTGGGTATTTGAAAAACACCGACATTTTTCCTATAACAAATCAGCAGAAATTTATGTCCAGCAGGATGAAATACAATGTTATACGCAGATTCTCCATCAATGCTGAGATTTACTTGCCTACGGCTTGTTCCATCATATTTGATTTGTTCAACATTTTTTTGAAATTTACATACAAAAATATTATTTTGTGAGTCCATCGCCATTCCCCGCGCCTTTTCTGGTGGTGTTAACTTAAATTGAAATACTTCCTTCCCTTCCAAGTCAATTACACAAACGTTCGTATTTCTCGCGTATAAAAATTTCCCAGGTGCTAATGAAGATGAAAGAAATGCCCTGTCTCCTGTCCGTTGGTAAGATGTCACGCTGCGCACACTGAAATCATGTGATAAAATACATCGCATCGAAGAGTTTGCTGAAAAAACCACTGTTGAACCATAAACAAAGTCTTCAATGTTTTGGGTCAACTCTATTGTCATCAATTTGTCGAATCTTGTGCCGTCATTTGATATTTGAAACTTCATCACGCAAGTGCCGAAAGCGACAAAAACTTCATCCATTTTGTTTCCATAGGTGAGGCCATAAGGCTCTCTATTACACTTTTCTGAATGAATACACTTCCACGGTGAACAAAGTGTGTCATAGACATCTAGTGAAGATTTTGATTCGATAGAAAAAAGAATCTTTGCTTCATTTAAAAATAATCCAAAGTATACTTGGTAGGGCACTCTAAAAACTGACAATTTCTCGAAGTCAACGTTCATCAAATCTTTTCCCTTCAAGTAACCCTTGGGACATGGAATACTTTTATCCCAAACGAAGTTATTGAGAATCTCAGACAAGTTGTCAAATGGTCTCCTTGAATTAAAAAGTATATCAATATTTGGCAACTTCCCATCCTCTTTTAATTGTCCAAGCACATCAAAACTTTTCTGAGTGTAGGTGTCTGAAGATCCCCATATGTCCAAGGATCTCAACCAATGAAAGTGAGTAGTAATTTGGGCTTGCAACACATGCTCTGACATAAACATTTGTTTTGCTGAGCCTTTATCCACAACTGAAGAAAGGAGTGCTTTTGCATCTCGTACTGTTGTACCAAAACGTTTCAGTTCGTCTGATGACATTTCAGTTCTATCTGTATTTTCTTTGTGGGCTTGCTCAAACTGCTTTACCCACTCTGTATGGGCTTTTTCAATCAAAGCTTTCACTTTTTCTACCTCATTTGCCATGATGGACATTATCGAATCTTTCTTCTCATTCAAGGAAAGAATATTTTGGTTGTTGATCAAAACAGCGCTATCAATGGTTTCCAAAACTTCACCGAGTTCTTTATTTTTCTTTTCGAGTTCTTCTTTATCAATCAGCTGAGATGAAGCCTCTTCAATTGATATGACACTGGTACACCTACGGTGCTCTGTTGCAAAACATACGCTACAACACAATTCTGAATGGTCTTCACAAAATACCTCGAGCAGTTTCCCTTTGTGATGCTTACATGGCTCATCAACATCAATAGGCTCATTTCCCTGACTTGCTTCTGACAACTTAATAATTTTGTGGTTTGAAAGGATTGGAATTAGATTATGAGTATGCCTGCAACAATCACAGATTGCCTCTACACAAGTTTTACACCAATACATGGCTGCAATCTTTTTACTATCTCGTTCACAAAACATACAATTTTTACCTGAATTATCAGAACGTATGTTCATTGTTTGAATTAGTTTGTTCACTGGAAGACATTTGGCCCATTTCTCGCTGGAAATATCATTTTCTGGTTCATTGACAGTTTTTCTGCACACGGGGCATACTATGAAGTTTATATTTTTTTCACTATCTCGAGTCACCGTACTTGAGATGTAGGTCTGAATGCAAGATTCACAAAACGTGTGTAAACACGACAAATACTTAGCTTTGGTAAATCTTTCTAGACATATAGGACACGTAAGTGAATCAGTAACGGTCTTATCGTTGACAGCTTCAGCCATGCTTGATGTGTGTGTGGTTTTTTTTAATCCTTCATAGATAATGAGGTATCCGCCATTTCTACTTGTACGGACCACGGTTGTAACCACAAATATTTATGCATTTTTTTTAGGAATGCCTACTTTCTTAATAAAGCAAGAGCTTTTAAAGGGTTAATTAAGTAAAGGATATCATTTAAAGGGGATTGTGTATTAGACGTTTTGTAGAATCGTGTGCACAGCATTGATTAACTAATACAAGGAATGTTTTAAAGTTTTGTGTGTGTTATTGGTGTGTGAATCACACAGACTTGTCACGTAAAATATGCCAACGTGCAAGTTTGTGTGATTCGTGATTCACTCACCAATAAATCACACTTAACTTAAAAAACATTCCCTATATTTACATTTTACATGTTTGGAAGCATAAAAAATATACTCAATATTTGAATTTCTCGCTGTCCTATATCGTTATATATAAGATTAAGGAACTTGAAAATGGACATAACTTTCTATCTTTTAGTAAACTAAACTTTAAAATCTCTTTAAACATGTTAAAGGAAATACAAAAAATCTGTGTAGTTTAAAATCTGAAAAAAGCCTTGGCTTGGATAATAATACCAACGAAATGTTGAGTGCAGCACAAATTAACATGAACCCTTGTACAGTGTATTCTGAAATTGTTTAACAATTAAAATCTTAACTTCACTTCCGGAATTTATCCCAGAAAATGGGTAGAAGGTTATATAACACCTATTTTTAAATCAGAAAATCCTCGATTACCCCAAAATTATAAAGGCATTTGAACCATTTCTAACATGCAGTATTGGCAAATTTTTCAGTGTAATACTTAACAATAGATCAGATAATTTTTTTTTATCGGAAAATAACATCATACATGAAAGCCAAATAGGATTTTCAAAAAAAGCTAGAACTTCAGATCATTTATTTGTAATGAAGTGTCTGATCGACAAATACACCAACAAAGGTGATAAACGTTTGTATGATTGCATCGTTGACTTCCACAAAGCTGTTGATACAATAATATTTACATTTCCAATGTCTTTGTTCGAGATAAAATTACAATTGTAAATGCATGTACTTTAATTATTTCCCCATCAATGTATTGGCGCGGTTCGAAAAAAAACCCACGTGCAGTGCGGGACAAACAGTAGCTGCAGATCTGTAGCTCTCCGAAAAAAAATATATTGACAGTCCGGAGAGCTACAGTGCCACCCATTGAAAAAAACTGTATATTTATTGCGCACAAAAAAGTGCGCTCGGTTCTCGATTTATTTCTCCATGTTTTTAAAACTGTAATCTCAAAATATTACTAACCGTGTGTTCCTAACATATTCTTTCGCTGTTTCCACAACCAAACATTCCTCATAATTGTTGTTAATAGGCCTCCTGACCCTGATATTGTAATCATCGAACATTTCGCCTATTTATACTGCCATTTTGGTTTCAAAGATAATTCGGTCCAATATGCTTCGTTCGGATGTCAATTACAAGAGTACTTGTTAGAAGATAAAGGAATTTTTTGAAATTAATTAAGAACCGAGCGCACTTTTTTGTGCGCAATAAATATACAGTTTTTTCAATGGGTGGCACTGTAGCTCTCCGGTCTATCAAAATATTTTTTCGGAGAGCTACAGATCTGCAACTAGACAAACAGCTACACAGAAGCAGGTCTTGGAGCACGTGGATTGGCGGAATCAAATGTAAATATAAGGAATAACTGTCTTATTTTTCAATTTCATGACGATGATCAATCTATTGGGTTGCGTGATAATTTTATGCCTTCGGCGTTTATGCAAATTATCACGCAAGCCAATCGATTGATCACATCATGAAATCGAAAAATAAGACAGTTATTCCTTAAATACACGATGGCATAAAACTTAAATCCTTCAATTGAAAATAAATGGACTATTCTACAAAATAATATGCAGTATGTACAAATACACAGTTATATCTCGATTAAAATGATAATAAATTAACCCAACCTTTCTCACCTGCAATAAGAGTAAGACAAGGTGATGTCTTAAGCCCAAATCAAAGGTGCTTGAGGACAGGACCCCCCCCCCTTTCGATATAGACCCCTGAGCTTTTTCGATTTTTTTCTCATAAAAAATCTTTCATTGCCATATTTGTGATAAGATCTATACCAGCAAATCGAAAAATTACCTAAAACAAACGTTCTATTAAATTTACCCTACATTCTCTATATAAAAATCAACTATATGTATAGAGAGGGTGGAAATTTTTATAAAAAGTAAGCTTAAGCAAATTTTCTGAATTGATAGTATAGATTCGATCACAAACGTGTCATCCATATATAATTTATGTGAAAAAAGTCGAACAGGCCCGGGGGTCTATTTGGGGGGGGGGGGGGGGGGGGTCCTGTCCTCAAGCACCTCTTGTATCATTCCTCCTTATTAATGTTAATTTATTGAGGGGTACATGTATGTTTGTATAAAGTATTGTTCAAAATGTCTTTTAAAAATATTGAAATAGTTGTGATTTCAATATTTTTACATTTTTTTAAAGCCGCTTGATCCGATTGTAATCGCTAAAAATATATATTCGTTTTTCTTCTTGAAAAATAATTGTCCATAAATTGTTTCAACTCTTGTCAAATTATATCCCCAAAGTCTTTTTCTTTTAAAAGATATCAAAATTCAAAAGTTCAAAAATTATTTTTGTTAGGTCACACAAAAAATAATCCTATGTTGATATCTCGTGAAATCACTTTCGAAAAATTAAATTTATCGCTTACATGTATATCTCATGATGAAGAACAATGTACATGCATACCTGTACACGGACACTATTTTAGCGCCTTTAAAAAAATCTTTAAAAATATCTTATTTTCCTTTATTCTTTAAATATGCATATTAATATAAAATTTACAGTGGATTATGTTGAATTATTTTCTTAATTTTTAAAAGATGTATTATGAATAAGGCTTCTACAAATGGAAAAAAAATACTCGGGTTTGAATTATCTTCATTTAACTTAGTATTAGATATAACCGATAATTTTTTTTCAAAATTGACGTCACAACAGATCTTGACTTCCCGTTAGGAACTGCTGTTTGTCAATAAGGTTTTTGATCTGCGCACAGGGGCATCTTATCCACTCTTTCTCTACTTCACATATAAAAATACAGTGTGTTTTTATATGTGAAATAGAGAACAGAGTGGATAAGATGCCCCTGTGATCTGCGTTTTCCATGTAAGGATTGTTGTACAATAAACTATTAAGGATAAATAACACAAAGTTGAAACAAACTTTTTTCAGAAATCAGCGTTATTTCTCATAGATTTACATTTGAATTGGTAACCTGAATAATGTTTTCCAAGTAGAGTGGGACAATTATAAAAGATTTTGTCATAAAGTTAAAAAATTGTGCAAAATTTTGTATGGAATTATATAGAAGGCAAAACAAAATCTCATATCTAAGCACCAAGGAAAAGCTACGATTTCTTTATAATTCAGGGATTTATTATTTATGTCATTTCAAATCAAAACCAGTCAAAAAATATTTATCAACCCGTGCATCCATTTTTTGTTTGTGGTAAGTACCCTTAAATCAATCCTATAATTTATTTTTATATATCATCTATGTAATTACGTACTTTTATTGTGTAAGATAATATGTGCCTGTTTCGGATTAAGCGGCTTTAATGAATTAAGTACTTATTCATTCGTTGATTTTAAAAAACACAAATACAAATGTACCACTTGGACCTTCAGAGATGATAAATTTAATCGGGATCAAGATGCAAATATGCGCTCTACGTAATCAGTCATCGTGTACACATACGTACTCCACATCATGAACGACGATCAGCCAGAAAATCCTACTCCACGTGAGATTTTTATATTTATTTTTAGTGACATGTCTATTTAGTGAAATTATTGTTGATAAGAGATGAAATCTTTTAATCTAGAAATCCATGTAAAGGTAGAAAGTATATTTTTATTAAAAGATTGAATGTCGTTGTCCATATTGTTTTTCTGTGCAGAAACTTGCATCATGCATTGATACAGATGTTGCCACGATGACATAAAATATATTTTTTAGATTTGTTTATTTCAGAGAGTGTTTAATGCATATTATTATTTTTTATTATGGTTTTTTTTGGCTTTTTATGTATTTTAAGTCTTATTTCGCTTCAATTTTCGATTTTAGAATTTTACTGTTTTATAATGACATGTACATTTTTTCCCGGATCTTCGTGACACCGTATTCTTCTCTGTGCTATTTTAGTCAAAGATGAAAAGGCAAGTGGTGATCATAAACAAGAGAGGAAACCCCCAGCTAAACAGGAATTGAGAAATGTTATACAGGAAGATCCATCTTCAGAAATTGAGGGTATATTTCATGTACATATATTAATTTCTATGATTCTTGTTAATTTGTTACATAGCCTTAAACTGTACAGTGGAGCCTCATTTATCCAGACACTTTGGTTCCCAGTTACATTGTCCAGATATGTGAAGCGTCTGAATGCCTGAATTACAAAATTAAGTTTAAAAAAATTCTGTTCCGACGAAAAGTTGTTTGGATACTGAAGCATCCAGATATCTGAAGGTCCACTGTATAAGTCAAAATAATTTAGGTGAATGTCAGTATCATGTCTTTTTACCTACAATCCTTGTATGAAGACATACTAATTTTGGATAAGACAATATAACAGTACACACAACATGTGAAAAAGCACTGCATAGGTACATAGAGTGCATGTTTTGGTTTTGAAATTATTTGTGTAAACTGATGAAAGTTATAAATATGGCAAAGGTCAATAAAAATTGAGAAGAGAGAAAAATTATTTAAAATTAATCTTAACTTTGGTTCATTTGCCTTTGGTTTTTAGAAAGTACAAAACATGTTGTTTTACTGACTAGCTGGTTAACATACAAATGGCTAAATTGTTCTTGTAGTTATATAAAAAAAAACACTTAAATCTTTTATATTTTGACCAGATGAGTGGAGTGTCCATGATGAGACGTATGAAACAATCAGTGGAGAGGAATCAGATATTGAGGACAATGTAGATCCCTACCCCGTCAGGCACCGGGAGGAGAACCCAGACCTCCCCGAAACCTGCAGCATTCTAGAAACCAAAGAAGGCAGCAAAGTGTACCTGATAGGAACAGCTCACTTCAGTGCTGAAAGTCTCAACGATGTCAGCAAAGTAAATCTATATACATTTCATATTTATCATGATCTTTATTCAGGGGTTTAAAAATACAAAGGTTTGAGATAACTGTTATGTAAAAGATAAATTAAATGCATTTATATACTTAAAATGTTAGTTTACATCATTGTTGCTCTGGTCATTTGATGAAAATGTTTCAGTGTTATAGTATTTAATATGATGAATGACCTAATTTACTATATCTCCAAATGTCCAATGAAATTTGCCATAGTACCGGTCCATGTGACTGATTGTGGTGAAGGGCATGTCCTGATTAATTTATTGTATTCTGATCTTCATAAATGAAAATTTTCAATTCTCTTATCCATTTTGCAATTCTGCTTGACTTTTTTACTTCCAAAAATGATCGTTTTTTTCCTAATCTGTATTTCCTCCATTCCTCTGTTAATGGTTAACACATGCAGTATATATATAGGTCATGAAGTGCAATGCCAATTGAGAAAATGTAAACATATTTTAAATTTATTTTTATTTTAAATTTCTATCATAATTACTGCGATTTATATATGATTCCATTTTACAAGTTAGAATTAATATTTAAATTTAAAAAGAATTCTTAACCTTCAGAAATTTTCACAGAATTAATTTTTTTTTCATAATTACATGTGTTCCCCCAACATTTACTTGACAAACTTTTAAAAGCAGAAAGCCTTTGGCTGGTGCTATGGTTTTGAATTATTTATAGTTGCATAACCCTGGTATCATAATCAGCCTCGTAATGAAAAAAAAATATTCAATGTCAAATTTTGAATTACACCTGACATAAAATATACTTGTATTAACAAAAATTCAGACTGATAGAATATGCTTCGGACTGGTAGAAGTTATGAGTAATTTAATTTGAAAAAATATCTTTTAATCTGTGATCAATGACCTTATTATTTTATCTCCAAAGGTCATACAAGCTACTGAACCTGATGTTGTTTCTGTGGAACTGTGCATGGACCGCATCAAAATACTACAACTGGACGAAGAGACCGTGCTACGTGAAGCCAAAGACATGAATTTTCAGAAAATTAAAGCCTCCATTGCTCAGGTCATTACCCACTGATATTTGTATATAACAAGGGGTGTGCTTGATTGTAAAGTCAGATTTCAATTCTGAGAGTTCCAAAAATTCTACCAATCATGTAAAAAATGAATTTTGAAATGTTTGACAAATAAAGAATTTCTTCTTATTAAATGATTTATTGTAAGACGCAATGGAGGATGAAAGTGCGAGTGAATGCTGTGAAGAACAAAATATCATGATGTTTGCTGTGTGCAGCTCACAGATGAACTTTACAATTAACATGATTTGAATAATATTATGAGAACAATGTTAAATTTTAATTTGCAAATAGGTCTATAGGACTTTGGGTCCAAATACATGTGTGCATATGTTTTAATCGGTTCGGCAAATGTACACAAATATCTTTAATTCCTTTCACACCACCTCTCAGTATGGGATTGAAACAAAGGTAGCGAAATCTCTCATTCGAAAAAAGAATCAAGCAGGTCTCTTAAAAATTTGGAAAATGTGAATAAGGGAGATAATTCCATTGTTTGTTGATTTTTTTAAGTTACGTCTTTCTCCTCTCTGTCCCTCAATATCCAAAGCTTCCTCACAGAAATAATTTTGTTTGCATGTGCTCAACCATGACAAATACACTTATAAGCAAAAATCCCACTGCACCCCTAATGAGCCTCTTAAAGTAAAAAAAAAAAACAAACAAACAAATATAACAAAACACTTGTGGGTTAAAAAAAATTGAGAAGGTACTACTTAAAGTTATGAGTAATTTATTTTAAAAAATACATGTAACTCTTGAAATCTACAGAATGGTTTAGTCCAAGGACTGTTCAATATTATGCTGTTGAATATCTCCGCTCGCTTAACCAAGGAACTGGGGATGGCACCAGGAGGAGAATTTAGACAGGCATACAAGGAGGTGAGAGCTCTAATTCTTTGGCTTAGAAGAAAAACGTTTTGAAGTGTTTGCATCCCTGGGGACTGAGGGGTGGAAAAAATCATCAAAAAGGTATTTTATGTACAGAATTGATCCAGAAACAGTTAAACATTAAACATGTTTGATAATATGTGCCAAGGGCAGACAGTTTTACTTGGTTCTAGTGCATATGTGTGTTTATCAGTTAAGTGTGCAAAATGTTTAAAGTTCTTAAAAATAAAAATCAATTTGCTGTAAGAGTAAATTTTTTATAAGCATGTTTGCAGTAAGATTTTTTCCTGTTTATGTCTTTGTAAGCGTAAGGAAAGCAACTTGAGAACAAAGTGTATTACTGTCATTTCTAAGTGAAAAGCATTTGCACTACTCTCTCTATGGCAGCTCATCAAATTTAATTTTAATTTGACATTTTTTTAAGTATTGAACATTTACAAGTTGTAGGTTTGCAGACTAGGTTGTAATGTATTGCAAATGTGCTATTGCAGTTGTAGTCACATTAATTGAAGTGAAAAATCAAAAATCAGATACGTATTAACAAACTTTTATTTGGGTGCAAAGGCTTAACATGAGCTTTCGCTCGATCAATATATTTGTCGGGAAACTATTAATCTATTGTGTTTTTATGTATTGTGTATTTCCAACCATTTAAATTAACAGTCCTAGATGGAATTCAGGCAGTTGATTCTTGAATAAAAGATGATGCGAATAATTGTTAGTTTACAGTAACCAAACTTGTTTTACCAGGTATCCTTGGGTAAAGGGGAGTTACAAGTTTGTTCAGATTACGCTTCAGAGGGCATTTGCACTACTCTCTCTATGGCAGCTCATCAAATTCATCTGGCATGCATGGAATTTTGATGAACCTATCAGGTTTGTACCAAATAGGAACCTCCCAAGTAACAGAGCTTTACTGAGTTATGCAATCATTTTTTAGCTCACCTGAGCTGAAGGCTCAAGTGAGTTTTTCTGATCAAAAATTGTCCGTTATCTGTCATTGTCGTTGTTGTTGTTGTAAACTTTTCACATTTTCATCTTCTACTCAAGAACCACTGGGCTAATTTCAAGCAAACTTGCTACAAAGTGTCCTTGGGTAAAGGGGATTCAAGTTTGTTCAAGTGAAGGGCAGATAATCATGAATTAGTGAAAAATTAATGGCATTTTAAAAAAATCTTCTTCTCAAAAATCACTGGGTCAGGGAGGATGAAACTGATGTGGAATCAACCTCAGGTAGTGTACATTCAAGTTTATCAAATCATGATCCCCAAGGGTAGGGTGGGGCCACAATGGCTGATCAAAGTTTTACATAGGAATTTATAGGAAAAATCTTTTAAAATCTTCTTCTCAAGAACCACTGATCCCGGAAAGATGAAACTCATGTTGAATCATCATCAGAGAGTGTACATTAAAGTTTGTTCAAATCATGGCCCCCAGGGTAAGGTGGGGCCACAATGGCCGATCAAAGTTTTACATAGGAATATACACATGTAGGAAAAAGTCTTTTAAAATCTTCTTCTCAAGATCCATAGGGACAGGAAAAAAATGAAATTCATGTTGGATCATCCTCAGATAGTGTACATTCAACTTTGTTCAAATCAGGACCTCCGGGGGTAGGGTGGGGCCACAATGGGGGATTCAAGTTTTACAATAAAATACAGTTTAAAAACTCTTCTCAAGAATAGCAAAGCCATGATTAGTGATATTATATGGAAGCAACATCAGGTAGTGTAGAATTCAATTTGCTTAAATCATAAAACCCAAGGGTAGGGTGGAGTCTCAATAGTGGATCAAAGTTTTACATAGGAAAATAAAGGGAAAAGTCCCATGAACAGAAAAGTTATGTTTAGTCATATTGACATGTAAGCATCCTCATACATGTATTGAAGATTTAATTGAAGATTTAAATTTGTTCAAATAATGAGTACCCTTTGGGGTAGGGAGGGAAACATTTATGGGGAATCAAATTTAAAATATTAGGAAGTAATATATACAAACAAAATGTTGAAAAAAATCTTTAAAATTCTTTTTCTCAAGAACAGCAAAGTTATATGCTGTTTTGATATGGAGGCATTCTTGATTAGTGTTAAATTTTAAGCCCCATCCCCCTCCACCCCAACCCCTCAGTAAACTTCAATTCTGATCTGATTTGTGCTTTTCCTAGCCATTGTGCTCAGGTGAGCAATGTGGCCACTGGGCCTCTCGTTTATATTAATCTTTTTAATCCTACTTTATATGTTTATTTATACAGACATAATTAAAAAACAATAAAATGTCTTTCTTTGATTCTTAGTATGACAAATCATTCCTGTACTTAAAATCATTCTAAGCATTTTATTGTTGAAGTAAAACTCTACAAGTCAAATAGACAACAAACCTTGTTCATCTTACATGTATGGTTTGTGTACCCTAAAAGGGCTATGTTTGCATATTTTGACTGTTGATTGCATGCTTTGAGTCCTCAAATCATTAAGCCTTGATTTATTTTAGGTGGTAGACCAAAAGTATTCCTTATAAAACCAAGCATTTCCGGTTGGTATAGGTTGAAGTAAATGTTTGATGCACTCAAAAGAAGCTAGGCCATGAAAGTTTCATTTATAAATTTTTATGAAGGTAAAACCTAGCTATCATGTATACTTTGTCAGAAGTGAAGGATCATTATACTATTAACTTATGAACCTGCAGCTATGAACAAATACCCTGATTTTTTTTTTTTGGCGGGGGGGGGGGGGTGTTTATCTGGAGACTTTTTCTAGGTTTCTGGGTCTATTACAATGTAATTGTAGCAGTATTTTTTATTTGAAGATTTTACATTGCACATTCCCTTGTTGATGTTTTAATTATATATCTTACACTTTAGAAGCTAGTCACATAACTATACATCAACCATAATCTGCTCTTAAGAAGGGACCATAAATTCAGGGCATTAAATTATCAGATTTGTGGTTGCAAATTTTATTACTTGCTGCTGTGAATGTGGGTAACATCTGGAAACTATGATAAATACAGTGCTCCTTACATTTGAATGTCATTAAAATGGATACTAAGTAAGCTAGGTAATAAACTAGCGTTTATTGATACTATGAAACTCTCTGACATCTATTTTTTATCCTGTTAAACAGGTTGCCTAGCTGAAACATCTGTTGGTTATAGATTTATTGATACTTAATGTGTGAGTCATTGACAATTTGGGAGCAAGTGTGAAAGACTGATTACTGCTATAATGATCAATTGTTTGAATTCAGTAATAATTTATACAGGTGTTCTTACCATGCTTATCCTGGACACAAATTGAATATTTATGCCCGAACCTTCAATAAAACGACTGTGGTTTATTATGCTAATCTTGTCTCTCCATCATTCCGTCATAGTTTTCTGAACTATTTATTTTTTTTTGTCTTTAAGTTGATGACAGCAGACCAAATTGGCCCATTTTTATGAAATGTTTAGATTGTGTTTGATATTCATGACTTACAAATCAAATTTGAGATTCGTGTTGATTTTTCAATTTTTTACAAATATTATGCCCCTTAGACTGAAAGTTTCTCATTGTTCACAGTTTTCAAGTCTTTCTTAACTTGCTTTTCTTGTATTAAGAGCAATAAGTTTTGGTGTTGAAAACGGTTTGTTTTACAAAATTATTATAATGTACATATCAAAATCCTCATTGATTGTTTTTATAGCAAAGAAGATGTGGAGAAATTTAAGGGTAAAGATTTATTAGAGCAGCTGCTGGCAGAGATGACCACAGAATTTCCGGGCCTTAGTCAAGTGGTCATTGAAGAACGAGATACGTTTCTTGCACACTCCCTCAAAATGGCTGCCAAGCCAATCAAAGCTCCAAATGAACCTAAAGGTATACCCTTATCTTTTGACACAGGTTTCAGAGATGTAAACCATATATAGAGTATTTTGATATGTGAACATCTCATCTGTTGAAATTTTTATATTGATTTTTTTGTCATTTTTAGCTCACCTGAGCCGAAGGCTCAAGTGAGCTTTTCTGATCAAAATTTGTCCGTCGTCTGTCGTCGTTGTCGTTGTTGTTGTCGTCGTTGTAAACTTTTCACATTTTCATCTTCTTCTCAAGAACCACTGGGCCAATTTCAACCAAACTTGGCACAGAGTATCCTTGGGTGAAGGGGATTCAAGTTTGTTCAAATGAAGGGCCGTGCCCTTTTCCAAGGGGAGATAATCATGAATTTGTTGAAAACTAATGGCATTTTTAAAAAATCTTCTTCTCCAGAACCGCTGGGCCAGGAAAGATGAAATTCATGTGGAAGCATCCTCAGGTAGTGTAGATTCAAATTTGATCATATCATGACCCCCGGGGCAAGGATGGGGCCAAAATGGCCGACCCAAGTTTTACATAGGAATATATAGGAAAATCTTTAAAAATCTTCTTCTCCAGAACCACTGGGCCAGGAAAGATGAAACTCATGTGGAATCATCCTCAGGTAGTGTAGATTCAAGTTTGTTCATATCATGACCCCCAGGGCAAGGGTGGGGCCAAAATGGCCGACCCTTGTTTAACATAGGAATATATAGGAAAAATCTTTAAAAATCTTCTTCTCCAGAACCACTGGGCCAGGAAAGATGAAACTCATGTGGAATCTTCCTCAGGTAGTGTAGATTCAAGTTTGTTCAAATCATGACCCCCGGGGCAAGGATGGGGCCAAAATGGCCGACCCAAATTTTACATAGGAATATATAGGAAAAATCTTTAAAAATCTTCTTCTCCAGAACCACTAGGCCAGGAAAGATGAAACTCATGTGGAATCATCCTCAGGTAGTGTAGATGCAAGTTTGTTCAAATCATGAACCTGGGGCAAGGTGGGGCCAAAATTAAAACCCTTGTTTTACATAGGAATATATAGGAAAATTCTTTAAAAATCTTCTTCTTAAGAACCACTGGGCCAGGAAAGATGAAACTCGTGTGGAATCATCCTCAGGTAGTGTAGATTCAAGTTTGTCAAATCATGAACCCAGGGGCAAGGGTGGGACCAAATGGCCGACCCAAGTTTTACATAGGAATATATTAGAAAAATCTTTAAAAATCTTCTTCTCAAGAACCACTTGGCCAGGAAAGATGAAACTCATGTGGAATCATCCTCAGGTAGTGTAGATTCAAGTTTGTTCAAATCATGACCCCCGGGGCAAGGGTGGGGCCAAAATGCTGACCCTTGTTTTACATAGGAATATATATGAAAAATCTTTAAAAATCTTCTTTCGAGAACCACTGGGCCAGGAAAGATGAAACTCATGTGGAATCATCCTCAGGTAGTGTAGATTCAAGTTTGTTGCATGACCCCCAGTGGCTAGGGTGGGGCCAAAATGGTTCAAGTTTCACATAGGGATATATAGGGAAACTTTTTAAAATCTTCTTTTCAAGTACTTCAAAGCTATGATTAGTGATATTTATATATGCAATCATCCTCAGGTAGTGTAGATTCTAATTTGTTCAAATGATGAACGCCTGGAGGGGGGATAAATTCAAGCCCGATGTGCTCAGGTGAGCGCTGTGGCCCCTGGGCCTCTTGTTTTTTATTGTTCCAATTATAAGTAACTTAAAGATAGATGTAACGTGATATAAATGAATTTAACTTTTTATATTTTATATCCTTGCGTATATATTTTTAGAAGCTTTAAAATTTTAATGATAGAAAGATGCATTCAATCATTAGTTTAAAATAAAAAAATTCTCAATTACTGTAAGTGTTTTAAAACTGCTTTTAAATGCCATTAAACCTATTATAAACTGCAGAATGTCTACATAAGCATTGATTTATGTGTATATATTGTGTGGCCTCATACACATGTAACGTAACAGCTCATGGTTATACATACCGGTAAATATATTCTGACAAATTGAATGTGACAGAATTCAACTTTTAGTACACATTTTTTAATTTTCTTGTGCATTTTCTCCTTTATTATTGCATTGAAATTGTAAAAGACACTGTGGTGTAATTTGTTTTAGGTTACTTTTGTGTATTGTATTGGATAATGACACTGTGATGTAATTTGTTGTAGGTTACATCCCCTCAGTGGTGGTAGGGGTAGTAGGAATTGGTCATGTGGCGGGCATTAAGGCCAACTGGGAACAAGAGAAATATGACATCAATGAAATCTTGGTGTAAGAATCTTATTTCATTTTAAGTGAACTGCTCCTTATTTTTTCTGATCAAAATTTGTCTGTTGTGTGTCTTTGTAATTAATATGGTGCTGTTGTTAGCTCACCTGAGCTGAAAGCTCAAGTGAGCTTTTTATCACATTTTGTTGTAGATTGTGTTTGTCTGTCTGTAAACTTTTACATTTTCAACTTTTCTCAAGAACCGTGGGCCAATTTTTCAATTTTTTACCACAATAGTATTCCTGGGTGAAAGGGTTTCAAGTTTATTCAAATGAAGGGCCAAGCCCTCTTCCAAGGGGAGATAATTATGAATTAATGAAAATTTTTTGGTATCTTTTAAAAATCTTCTTCTCCAGAACCATTGGGCCAGGAAAGATGAAAGTCATGTGGAAGCATCCTCAGGTAGTGTAGATTCAAATTTGTTCAAATCATGACCCCCGGGGGTAGGGCGGGGCCAAAATGGCCGACCAAATTTTGACATAGAAATATATAGGAAAATTCTTTAAAAATCTTCCTCAGGTAGTATAGATTCAAATTTGTTCAAATCATGACCCCTGGGGGTAAAAATGGTCATTGACCAAAGTTTGACATAGAAATATATAGGAAAATTCTTTAAAAATCTTCTTCTCAAGAATGACAAAGCCATAATTCATCATATTTATATGGAAGCATCCTCAGGTAGTATAGATTCAAATTTGTTCAAATCATGACCCCTGGGGGTAGGGCGGGGCCAAAATGGCCAACCAAAGTTTATATATAGAAATATATAGGAAAATTCTTTAAAAATCTTCTTTGTTGAATGACAAAGCCATAATTCATCATATTTATATGGAAGCATTTTTATAGTATAGATTCAAATTTGTTAAAGATAGATGTAACATGATATAAATGGCCAACCAAAGTTTGACTTTTTAATATATAGGTATAAATTCTTTAAAAATCTTTTTCTCAAGAATGACAAAGCCATAATTCATCATATTTATATGGAAGCATCCTGAGGTATGTGTATATATTGTGTCAAGTTTCAAATCATGACAGCTCATGGTTATACTTAAATATATTCTGACAAATTTACATAGAAATATATAGGAAAATTCTTAAAAAATCATCTTCTCAAGAATGACAAAGCCATAATTCATCATATTTATATTGAATCATCCTCAGCTTGTGTAGATTTAAGTTTGTTCAAATCATCACCTCCAAGGGTAGGGCGGGGCCAAAATGGCCGACCAAAGTTTGACATAGAAATATATCGGAAAATTCTTTAAAAATCTTCTTCTCAAGAATGGCATAGCCATACTTCATCATATTTATATGGAAGCATCCTCAAGTAGTGTAGATTCAAGTTTGTTCAAATCATGACCCCTGGGGGTAAATGGCCCATTCAAAGTTTTACATAGAAGTATATAGGAAAATTCTTTAAAAATCACCTTCTCAAGAATAGCAAATCCGTGATTGGTCATGGGACTACTTTTTTATTTAAACTTTTCAATAAACCCATTTCTACTTTTTCCTAGCCACAGTATTCAAGTGAGTGATGTGGCCCATGGGCCTCTTGTTTTTGTTGTTGCATTCATCTTCTTCTCCAGATTCTTTTGACCAATTTTAACCAAACTTTTTACAAGGCTTCTTTGGGTGAAAGTGATAGAAATACATTCAAAGAAAAAACACTCTTTCTTTTGAAGGGAGATGAATAAGAATTGATGAAAATTAAATGGTATCTTTCAAAAATCTTCTTAAATACCATTTGGCCAGAAAAAGTGGAATTTAGGTGAAAGTCCACAACAGGGATTCAAAGTCATAGAGTTATAAAGGAACATAAAAGAAATATTTTCAAAACTCCTCTCAAGAACAGCAAAGTGCTGTAGTTTGTATTATTAATTAATTAATTCTCAAGTTGTGTAAATTCAAGTTCAATTCAATAATGATCCTTGGGTAAGGTGGCACCAACAACTGGGGATCAAAGTTACACATAAAAAAATTTTAAAAACATCTTAAGATAAATGTTCTCAAGAATAGCAAAGTTTGGAATCCAAATGGGACTACTAAGTTCATTATTTGCATTATTGAGCATTGAAGTAAGGGCCGATTGCACGATGATGATGAATCAATGGTTCAATGATTATTGCATGATGGTGCAATAGCATGATCATGATAATGCAGTATGTGGCATGAAAATGCAATATGATGATGGTGTGATACCACAACAGAGCTATAATGAACAACATCACTTCATCATTTTGCCATCATGTCATAGTTATTGCACCATTGAATCATCATGAACACATTGCCACACCATCACATGCTTGTAATCGCTTCATTGTTATTGCATTGTGGTTTCATTGACATAGTATTATTGTGTCATTAAACTCATGAAACTATTGACCCAAATCTTGGTGGTGCAAGGATGTGATGGTGAGCTTCATGAACCTCTCCAGATTCAATAGCGTCTTCATGTAGTTTAGTGTAAATTAAAGATTGTTCAAATCGTGACTACCTCTGTTAGGCTGTGGCAACAGCAGAGGGTCATGTGTTCACAATAATTTATTGGAAATACTTTGTACTGCAAACAAAATCATATTTTTTTGTGGAGACATATTTTTGTGGGTTGAAGGAAAAATATGGGCTCATATGGATTTGGTTTTGTGGATGAAAAATTATTGAGTCCCAAAAGACTGTAGACTGTGTTTATACCTGGTAAACATTCACAGAAAATACTTGCAATACATGTAATATCATTTATTCAATATCCCTTTAGATAGAGTACCTGTATTCTTAAATAATTTTCAGAGGGAAAATACCTATTTAGCATATGCCATTGTGACATAGGCAACATCTGTTATATAATACAATTTAAACTAAATGTATTAACCAGTCATACGACATGTTACAACAAAAATTCAATATTAATTTCTATTCAGTCTCTTGATTTCCACGAATCCAGAGAGAATCATTCTGTGTCAGATTTATCCATGATTATCAATTAAATAATTATTGTATTTTTCTCTTGCAGGGTTCCAGAAGTGTCAAAGGTTAGGAAATTATTGAAGTATGCTTTTCGGTTTTCCTTCTACGGAGTTCTGTGTTATGGATGCTATAAACTCTATAGGATTACTGTGCCACTTCTCACATGAAATTTATTGAATCTCAAATATTCTAAGGAAATTAACTATTTATTATCCAACCAAAAAAGTCCATCTTTCCAATGAATGGCTGGACTTTGGTGCTCCATCCCAAACATTCATCTTCTGAATGGCTGGACATTTATTCTTGTATAGCATCCTGGTAAAGGTGGTGTAATTTATCGAAAATATAATCAGAGTTTATCTTAATTTATTTTATTTCGTATATCAAAATACCTATATCAAGATTTATTGTTCTTAAATTATTTGGAAAACTTTTACATGAAACACAGAACTGGATATGCCGGATTTTTCACGTAATTATATATATTGAGAGAGAGAGATATTTTTTCGCAAATTTTGTATTTGATGTTTCTAGTCATAATTGGCAAAATTAAGATCGATGTGTGTAATTTATAGATCTTAATGATTGTGTATAAAAACTATTGCAAGGTTGTTTTTCATTTCATCTTACATGTATCTGTTGATCATAGTTTACTAATAATTTATTTAAAAAGGTGTCTTTGACAATTCAATTTTTATTATTTCTATGAATGTGAAGTGTCTTTATACACGGTAATAATAAAAAATAAATATTATAACTAGAACAAAGCTTCTTGAAATGCAACAAGTAGGTCTTTTGATAGATGAGGGCATTGAAAGTAGTGTGTTTAGATTTTTGATTCTAATTAGAATTTTAAATAAATGTCAATTTGCTGGAACAAAATTTAACCTGAAACCTCATTTACAAAGCATTTTATACCATTTTTTCAATGATTTTGGAGAGAAAAAAAATCCTCTTAGTTGGAAACATGGTGCTAATTTCTATTTTTGATGTGATATTAATTGCATTTCACGTAAAAAAAAATATAAATGTTAATGTGAAGCTTGTTAATATGTACCTCTTCCCAAGAGATTAAACAACTTTTTTAAATTTTACTTATTAATTACTCTGTAAACAATGCTGATAACAAAGTCCTTGGAATTGATTATTTATCCTTTGCTATTAACACATGTTTTATTTGTTTAGTTTACAGTTTACAAGACACTTTAAAGTCACAGGGAATGAAAAGCTTTTTGATCTAAGCATCAATACACTATAAGTGTGTTCGCTATAAGCATATTTTACAGAAGTCAGTTAGTTTACAAATATTTTCATTTAAATTTTTGCCATGAAAACATTTTTATTTAATCAGCATGTATATGTTTGATATATATATTATTGTTATAAACTTTAAAGTTTGTTTTACATACAGGTATATTTAAGACTTTTATATGTCTATATATAGAGGCACCATATACTATTTTTGTTTGTTTTTGCTTTATTTACTTTACTTTACTGCATTAGTATTTTTCTTGTTTCTCAGTTCTAAGGATAAAAGAGCAATGAACTTATTTGAATGTCACTGACAACAAAAATGGTGATTTAGAACTTTTTTCAGAAAAAAAAATGTTAGCATTTATGTATATCCAAATTCAATCTTAAATATTAGCAAAGTTTTGAAAATCTTCCTGAAATCTCAAGGTTCAAGAAATGGATAAGCAGCTCCCTTTATGAAGTCTAGTATTGCCAATTTGAATACTGACTTTATTTGATATTTGAAAGTGCTTATTTTGAATTGCTATAATCTTGCCCTGAAATATATATTTTTTAAAGATTGCATGGTTTAAGATTTTCCAGATGTGTGACCACTATGCAGATCATAAAAAAAGTTTAATTTGTAATTGGTGGATTTTAATAAACCCAAAGATAACAAATTATCAGAGTGTTAGATTTATGAATGCTAAAATTACTGTTAAAATAGTTAATAATTATGTGAATCTAATAAATGGACTACATTTACCACACTCAAATACAAGACAAGATGGACTACATTTACCACACTCAAATACAAGACAAAATAATCAGTCTAGTCGAACCCTCAAACGGGGGTATAACCCTCAAATGAGGGGTTTCCTTCCCTTAATGCAACGCGCGGAAGTGGAATTAAAGAACGATAACTCTTCTTATTTAAAAAATAAATTTTTTTTTAAAAAATCACACACATACAAAAATGAATTGTCTACACCTTTGTTTTCAATTAAAAAAAATAATAATTTTTTTCCCGTTTTTATTTACCTCATTTCTGAAGCACAAAAGTTTGTTTACAGGACAGAGGAAATTCGGACGGGCACACAAGAAAGTGTCGAAAAATAATAAATAACATGTTAATTACACAAAATTTGTAATACCGGGGAAGGGAATTATATGTAGTTCAACTTTAAACAAACCATTGTTTGTTTATTCATCCGTTTTATTAAATTATGAATAAAAAATCTAGTTGTATCAAGCATGGAGGTCAAGGCACAGAATACGCTAACTTTGGGAGAGAATAAGTCTGGATTTTAGCAATAAACATATACTTTTCAGCAATACGATCTCTTTAAACATATTTAATCTATCAAATTTGAGTACATACAGAGCTACGAAATAATCCATCACTTTGCACGAGCATATTTTGTGGACCACACGTTTTTCCGTGAAAACGGCACTTTTTTGAGTGTCTGCGCGTGCGTGTATCCTCGTTTGAGGGTACGGTTTTCCTACTTCCGTTTACCCCCGTTTGGGGATTCGACTAGACTGATAATGCAAATCATCCTACAGGCGCGGATCCAGAAATTTTTTCCAGGGGGGGGTCCACCCCAGGCAAAAAAGAATCCAATCCCAGAAACGTCAAAAACCTATTTCGTGTGTGTGTGTGTGGGGGAGGGGGGTGTAGTGGTGACTTCTATTGCCTCAAATCTTTCACTTTTTTACCCATTTCACACATATTCGCGTTTACCAGGGGGGTCAGCGTTTTCCAGGGGGGGTCCATGGTAACTTTTTTCTGGTTTTAGTATATACATTTTTTTACCTAGTAAATTCCACGGGGGTCCTGACCCCCCCCCCCCCCCCCTTCTAGATCCGCGCTTGTCCTAAATTGCATTGAAGTTGTTCATGAAATCGTAGAGTTTTACAACTTTTACACAGCAAATGAGGAGAGTAGCATATCAGAAACCCTTGGCTAGCGAAGATGATAGTTACATAATAAAGCTACAGTCAGGCCCAACAATGATTTGCAGGTACCTTATCCACTGTCTGTTCATCCATCTGACTATCATTCTTTCCATAAATTTTCTGTTATTTCCTAATAACTTTTTTTATGGTTCAAATTGAAAGTTCAAATCTGGAATGTTGGTTGAATGGGCAATAAGACATTTTTATTTTGAAGGGAGGGCATATAAATGCTTTGCTTCTGTCTGTCGGTCTGTCGGTCCATTTAATTTCCGTTCATTTTCTTCACAACCGTTGCACATACTGAAATGAAATTTGGTATACAGGTATATCAGATGAATATCTAGGTCAAGTTCTGTTTTGGATACGATCGCGCCATTTTTGACAGAGTTATGCCCCTTGGACTTAAAAAAATTCCAATTATTTGCAGTTTCCGTTCATTTTCTTCAAAGAGGTTGCACTTATGTACTGTTTTAGGTACGATCGCACCATTTTTGACAGAGTTATGCCCCATTGGACTTAGAAATAAAGAAGAAATGCACAATGAGATAAAATATTATTGAAATTTAAAACAATTTTATAAATTCTGCTTTATAGGCGTTTAAAAACAATTCTACTAATAAAGGACCACAATTATTACCCATCTAGATTCCAACAGTTATTTGGAAGACGTGATCTAGGGACTCCAGCATCTTTTTATATCAACTTTTGAGTACTTTTGTACAGAGAGTGATTTTAGATAGTAAATAATTTTAAATAGTAAATGAACAATCACAGAATTTGAAAATATTCGAGTACCGTTTTTATTGATAAAATAGATAATTAACTTTCATTACAACAGAAAATGAGAAATAACAATCACTTGCTCAGAGAAAAAAATTAAACTCCTCTTTTGAGTTTAATTTTACCCTTGTTTCATTTATATAAGAGAGGTAACTCACTAAATGGAAGAGTGACTCCTTGCTAGAAGAGAAAATTCATTTCTGCTAAGAGAGAAATCTTACCCTTGTCGTAACTATATAGAAATTAAGCCCTGCTAAGATTAAAAAAACCCTCATGCTTAGAGATATAATTATACAATGTACCCCGCTAAGATAAAAAAAATCATTGTGGCTTACAGAGAAAATTTAATTTGCTTGGAAAGAAAACTAACGAGGTAATTTACCCCTACTAAAAGAGATTATTTGCATTTGCTAAGAGATATTATTCAACCATGTAATATAGATAACTCTCACAAATTCAATAAAGAGATTTTTTTCATGTCTTCATAAACGTTCATTTTTTGTAATTGTTACACTACTTGACCATTTGTAAATACATTCGAAGAATCACATACTTAAAAACTAATATTCTTTTAAAAACTAAGAATGAAAAAAACAAGAAATTTGAAAAGCCAGTTTCTATGTATGTCAATTCAATTGTATCATCTTTTAGACCTTAAGGTACATTGATAGGAGAGATAACGCTTAATGACACATTTTTCTTTGATTCCTTTATAAATTTGTCAAGTTTAAGTGCCTTTTTTTGTCAAATTCTGCCCTGCAAGCCATGCTTTAATTGTTTGTATTTTGTTCAGCATATACATTTGCTTTTGAAAATCATAAAAATTAAAGAAAAATTTCATATGAGTGAGCAGAGGGTTTATGAACCTTAACTAGTAACATCTTTTTATACAAAGATACTTTTCAAATTTTGCAGCATATGGTACTGATATTTGTTACTTTCATAAAATGGCACGTATATTCCAAATTGAAAGAAACACAATCTGGTTAATGACCTAAGCTAAAAAAAAAATTGTAGAGAATATCGTTTTTAGGTCACTCAGGTGACCTATTGCTATCCGTTTCATGTCCGTCGTCGTTGCGTCATGCGTTGTGTGTTAACATTTCAGCATTCTCAGCTTCTTCTTTGCAACCACTCAACCAATTTCAACCAAATTTGGCATAAAGCATCTATGAATGAAGGGGAACAAAAATTATGAATTTCATGGTCCCTGCCCCCCACCCCCTGGGGCCTATGGGGTGGGGCCAAAACCATTAAGATTAATGCAATCTTTAATAATCTTCTCTACTCCTGGACATCAAGTAGTCAAACTGTTTGCATGATTGTAATCAGAATTGAGTCCTGTACCAAATTTGTGAAATTCATGGCCCTGGGGTCAGGGGGTTCTAATGCTAGGGCGGGGCTAAATAGATTATATGGAGAAAATGCACTATTTTTTTTTTTGGAAAATCGTCTTCTCTGCACCTTGGCAATAAATGATCTAAATAACTACATAGTTATGTTGAATAAGGCTTCCTCTTCCAAAATTGTGAATTTCGTGGCCCCAGGGTCAAGAGTTCTTAGGTGCTAGGGCGGAGCTATATAGATTATGTAGTGAAAATGCAGTATTTCTTTGAAAATTTTCTTTGCTCCTGGGTGTTTGATAAACAAACCAAATACATAGTTATGTTAAATAAGGCTGCCTCTTACATAATTGTGAATTTCATGGTTCTGGTGTTAGGGCGGGGCTCTATTAATTACCTAGTTAAAAGGCATACATTCTTTGAGCATCTCCTTATTCTCTGCTCCTAAGTATTAAACAAACTAACCAAGCACATAGTTATGATGAGCAAGAATGTCTCTTCCAAAAGTGGGAATTTCATGGCCCCTGGGTTGGGAGTTCTGGGGTTAGGGTGCGGCTGTATTGATTATATAGTGAAAATACTTTAATTCTTTAAAAATCTTCTTCTCTGCTCCAGGGTATTAAATAAACCGAAACAAGTACATAGTTATCTCGAATAAGAGTGCCTCTTATAAAATTGTGAATTTCATGGCCCAACGGTCAGGGGTTTTGGTGGCATTTGTCGTGATTATTAGTATATAGGGAAAATACATTAATTCTTTCAAAATTTCTCTTCTGCTCCTGGGTATTGAACCAGTGAAATGTGTACATAGTCATAATGAGGATGGATGCATCTTCCATATTTGTGAATTTCATTGCCCAAGGATCAGGGCTTTTGGTGTTAGGGTGGGGCTCTAATGATTATGTAGTGAAAATGCATGAATTCTTTGAAAATCTTTTCCTTTGCCCCTGAGTATTATGCCAATGCTCTAAGTACATATCAATGATGATGAAAGTCGGCTCTTCCAAAATGTGAATTTCAGGACCCCTGGGTCAGGGGTACTTGGGGTGGGGGTTACACCATTTATGATGAAATAAGATTCATAATAAAATTTTCAGAATTTTGAAATATGTGTCCCCAGGTTCAGTGGTTCATATGGGGTAGGGTGCACAACTAGTTATAGAGTATAGTAAAGTAGAAATGCATTTTCTCTTTGTTACTCTGATCTACCTCTGGGTATTAAGTAACCAAAGTAAGCAAGCTAAGTGTATAGTTATGATAAGAAATAGTGCCTCTTTCAAAATTTTGAATTTCATTGCGTTTGATTTAAAACACGAACCAATTCAATTGTTGGAAAGTTGTTACATGATACTCAGGTGACCTATAAGGCCCGTGGGCAACTTGTTAACTCTTCTTAATGTGTATATGCATACACTTTCAAGAAGTTGATTATTAACTTTTTTCTGAATGTAAAGTGCGTGCGTCAGAAAATTGAATATTCCCGTAATCTACTAGTTAATTCTCGCTGTTGAAAACTGCAGCACTGTTTTAAATACATGTACGCTTTAACTTACGTAACTATTGCCTGGTTAACTTTTATGGGGTTTGATGATCGTAAAATTGACTTTAAATAGACAAAAAAATCATTTCAATGTTCTCTTTCAAACAATATTGTTTTATTTCATATATATTTAAACAAATTTTATTCTACTGGATTATGACCGATGTCGTCAAATATGTCATGGCGAGATTTACTCGTTGGAAATTGCATGTTACTTGCTGATATACTTGCTGTAAATTTTAATGTTTCTGAAAACAGACTACACTGTGTCAAAATGAACTGTGAGTATAGGGTTTCTTTTTCGCCAACGGATATCATTTAATATAGTTAGTTGGTCAACATACATCAATAAGCGTGATGATTTAAACTTTCTAATCGTCGACCACCCTTTCTTATGCAGCAGTATACCTTCATCATCTGCAAACGGGGTTTATATCTCAGTAGATTCTATACACTAGAACATGCCCTAAGTATGAACAATTTCTAAAAAGAGGTAAATCATTGGCAAATTTTGGGGGAAAAAATACCCAGAATATCAGCAGTCTCGTTTAAAGTCATCATTTCCTAAGTTCATTGGTCGATACAGTGACCTTGATATCAAATACAATTCATCATTAAGTGAAATGCTGATTGACGTTTTTCATATTAATTATGAAGTCATTATATACACACACGGATTTATCCGTTGTTTCCCGATCATGAGAAGGAACACACGGGTGTGACCGGTCAGCATGGGATGCTGACTCCTCCATGGCACCCAATCCCTCCTCTGATGTTTTGGAAGTCCGTATTTGCTCGGTCCAATTTTGTATTGTTTAATGGATTTATAATTAGACCGAATACTGATTGTTTTCTCCATAAATTTCACTGTAAAAGGAGGATTTTTTCCTCTGTTACTAGATCCAGATTTTTCAAGAAAGCAGACATTAGATACGTACATGTATGTGGTGCTTATGTCTGCTACCCAAACATTCTTCACGTATAAACTTTTGTCTTTAATGCTAAGTCGAATGCTGACTGACGTTTTTCATGCAGACTGTAAGGCTATTATTTATACACTGAATTTTCTGTTTGCAAGATCATGACAAGGAGCACCCAGTGAGTGTGACAGGTCGACAGGGGATTCTTTCTCCTCCATGGCACCTGGTCTCAACTCTGACGTTTGCTCTTCCGTATTTTTTGTATTTTTTTAGGCTGATTACTGCTCATTTTTTTCAAATTCTATTTTTTTTTAAAAAATATAAGAATATAACAAAGATGATCGATTGAAAAATCTCTCTAAAAACAATTGATTAACATCTTTGAGACTTTGTCGAAAGAGAAATAAATGAACTTATTGTGTGTGTATTTTATAAATTAAAACTTATCTGCATATTGTGAGATTTTAAATATGAATGTTATATTTTTTTGTCCTTCCTCAAAAGTCAAACATCAACGAAAATAATTTTGAAATAGCGCATAATCCGACTTTAATGATGTGTGGCAACGCACTTTGAAAAAAAAATTCAAAGTGCGTTAAATTTGGGACACACTCAACGCACTTTGAAAATGCGTTATGAGTGTACATCAACATTTTTTACCATGTGGACATTTAACGCACTTTGAAAAAATATGCATAAAACAAAAATTCTAGACTTAGTTAATCAATTTGTAATAATTATATCTTTCGAAAAACAATTTAATTTACATGTTTTAGTTTACCCTTATTGAGAAGAAGGAGAAGAGTACATAGAAGGTTTCTCAGCCCAACTCTTTTTTTCTTATACAAAGCCGTCGGTACCAAATTGAAAGTGGACACCCCCGGGTAAGTACCGATTTTTAATGCCTATATTATATATATCTTTGCAAAACATTTGTGTGACTAGCACTCCTCCTTCCCCTGGTACCGATGCCTATGCAACACCGAAATTTATATATATTTGCATAACTGGTGTGACGTTGAAAGCTTAGCTTTCAATAAATTTTAATTTACATTAAATGCATGCAAACTAGAGAAAAATAAGTACAGTAAAACATTTAAGAGAGGAAGAATTTTTAATGTATGGAAAAATCAAAATCGCTCACTTTCACATCCTGAAGTGACCTTATCACCTAAAAGTTATCCAAGAGGTTCAATTATTTATCATACCTAAGATCTTCAAGAATATTGGCCAGGCCATACAGTTTTTTTTTTCAAAGCGTTAATATGGTCGATATTAACGCACTTTGAAAAGACATTTTATTTTTTCAAAGTGCGTAATTTTTCAAAGTGTGTTGTAACAATGGTGTCTACTGTAATTAATATCAGTTGAATGTCGTACAACGGGCTAAATTTATTAGTTAGGTTATTTCTTTCCAGTGAAGAGATTTGTTCGAGTTTCAATTTGCAAGACCTTTGACAGGCACAAACTGATCTACATCCATGTAGAACGAAATTGTTACATAGAATTTGAAAGGACGTACATGTAAGGTATTAAATAGAAGTCAACAGAAGTCGTGAATCGCATAGGAAGCCCTCAAAGGTAGCAGAGTAAAGGACAAAAGACCCTTGTACCTCAATGATGTCACGTGAATAAATAAAACAATTCCCTTACAATTAGAATCATTTATGGCACGTTAAGGGGGAAATGATGAACTATAGGCTGTGATTGATGGCATTGCTTATATTTAGCCAGAAGCCTGTATAATAGAGACAGTGGTTAATTTTCATATCAAATATGCTGCTTTTGAGTGGAGAAAGACATTTAATCGATGTCCATTCAAACTTTGAACAATTTTCTGAAGACATGTTGCATTTCAAAGAAGAGTAACATGGGGACGTGAATTCGAAGGATAATGACTTTCTATCGTTATACTCATAGAAGGATATCGTACGCTTCTTATAGAAAATACTATTTATCTATTTTGAAGTGCCACGTTCATTACTTTTTCTTCGAGAAATAACTTTCATTTATCAATGTAAGAGCAAATACCGACGATTGATATATCGATGTAATTCTTTTGTAACTATACTCATACACTGTTGGTGGTGTCATATCAGTGTTCAATGGCTTTTGCAGTGACCATTTAAAAAGTACAATTTTTTTGGCATACGTGCGTTTCCTACAACATTTACAATTAATGTAAGGAAGACCCGCAAAACATTTGATGCTAAAAGTACACATGTTTTAAACACAAAATTTAAATTCATTATTCATTTGATGATTTGCACATATAAACTGTTCCACCGTCCTTAAAGTATATAATGAGTATGAGGTTATCTGTTTCTAAGAGAAGTGACAGAGAAATTTATACGAATAGGAGTCCTCTGAAATACAGACAAAGAAATCAATAAAAATCTCGTGACGAAAGTGATTTTTATGACTTCCATTTTGTGACTTTTTTCATTGAAAACCACGGGAAGGGGTGAGTTACTTCTGATCTTCATTCGATGTAAAGATCAAATATTAATTAAATGTAAAAGTTGAAATTCAAGAGATTTTAAGTTCAATTTTTGTATCACTGTGTATTTATTCATTTGATCTATTGTATTATTCATCTGTTATTTCATTTTCTAAGTTTAACATATAAACTCACCATAAGTATAATGCTCTAAAAATGTCTTCCCGCAAAAAAGTTTTTAGTAATCTTACTTGCAAGTTTTCAAGATATTTTTTAGTGTATTTCATTTCATGTTCATTATTTGCTGTACACAGGTACATGATAAAAAATAACTTTAGAAGAAATTTATTATCTTATGAAAAAATTATGAAAATTGTTGATCTCTGGAAGTATAAGAAATCTTTCAAATGTAATTATTTCTGACCTATTTATATAGGTTTTTTCTGTTAATACACACTGTGACGTTTTTCAAAGATTTTCAACCTCCTAAATTAAATCATTTATAGAGGTAGAAACACTTTGGAAATCTTGTTTAACTAATCCTGATCGCTAGCCTTACGTAATTTGTTCAAACAATATAAACACATTAATGCCTTTTCACAAATTGCATGATAAACTTGGTAAATATTGAACAGATGGGTGCCCCACGCTGCAGGGAGTCACCTCTTTGTTTCTACAAACGTTTTAACGAATGCTATTATTGTCCATCTTGATCAATAACACAGTTGAAATTACAAGACACCTTTATATTTGGTAGAGGAGATGGTTTTCTGGCTGTGTAATGAGAACAGATGAATTCCACTACATCCGATCTAAATGAGGATTTTTTGCCTGAATCCACAACGCCATATTTGTTTTACAAGTCATTCTCCTCCATACCAAAGAAAAAGTAAGTAGGAATTTTGAATTGTTAGCTGTAATTCCTCCTTAACATTAACAGGGCCTTTGGGGTATACTTTCGTAGGGGGTAATGTGGACTCTTGTGTGTTGGTGTCCCCCTACGATTATTTCTTATGAAATTGAATCTGTTTTTTTTCTTAATGCTATATGTACATGAAAATATTATATAATGTACGAATATTATATTATCTATCTATACATATAACTGTATTTTTCCAATGGTTCTATGGTCCAATGGTTCTATTTTATTGAAGTGTGGACATCTAAGTATATGTACATGTATATCAAATATTAAATTATAGCTGATTCTTTCTATCTGATCCAGGGAGCTCCTGGCACCCCAGGTGATGATATATTTAGGAGGGCCTCCGAGGAGGTATTACCTCCACTTTTTTGTTAATATATTATTGAAATAAAATTGAAAAATAAAAAAAAACATTAAAAGACTAGAGATTACAACAAAAAGAGAGAGTATGGTTTTTTGTTGGTTTGTTGTTTAACGTCCCTCTTGAGAATTATATACTGATATGGACACGATGGAAACACGAACGCTTGCCGGTGGTGGGCTGCAGCTTATACCTATACTCGACAAACGGGGCCATTCAGCGGTGAAGGATCTTTTTCGTGCTAACACCTACTATAGTACTGCGACACGGAATCTCGGTTTAATATTACGGTCACATTAGAGGGACCGTTCTTCCGCGTCCCACAGTGGATTCGCACCCATGAGGTAATGATCAGCTGTTTAATCCGCTGCGCCATAAGGGCAAGGAGAGAGAGAGAGAGAGCAGAGGTTTTGGTAAAAATATATATATATATATATATATATATATATATATATATATATATATATATATATATATATATATATATATATATATATATATATATACAAGTCCATCGCAATAGCGGTAATCATATTTTGTGCTACTTTTTTCTCCACGAATTCATGTACTCGGACCGAATGCATGATTTGTTATGTACAGCCAATACGTTCATAAAACTCAAGTGCCCTAATTTTCATGATGATGAGGAATATTGCTCTCATGCAGTTTTGAGCAATCTAATTTTAATTAGATTGAATTTTGAGAGTGCTAGATTATGTTAACTTTGTTAACAGTATGATCTTATTCATTACTTTTGTACATATAACTTGGCGCAATTGATTGAGCATTGCATGAACAAGAAGGCATTGTGTTGATACACATGTAACGTAGGCAACTGCATGTTCGATTCTCAGCTCTTGGCGGCAAGCTCGATCGAAAACATGTATACATCAAATCATGCAAATTATCCGTCCAAATAATAAAACACCTCTCCTAAAATATGTACTTTAAAAGCTGCTTGGTCTGAATCCCATAGATCATTCTTAATGGACAGCCTGTAATGGAGGAACTTTCGGTGTTAATGAAATACCTCTATGTGTGACGACAGTCTATAAAACTCCAGAAGTTTATTTCCCCTGATCTTTATCGGTCCTGACAATCAGTCTTATATTTGTGGACATCCTATCTTTTCTGTCAAGTAATGCGAAATAGTCAACCTTCACCAATAAAAAGACTTCATATACCGAGAGTGCATTTGCTTGTAGGAAATTATATCTCTTTTCTCTCTGTTTTGTTCTATTAAGATTTAATATACGTAAAACAGCGATATAAATGATTGATTTGAAGTGATGAAATGACTTTAGACACAGCTTTCAAATGAAAATAATAAGTTTTTATGGAAGGCTCAGGTGCTTTTGAAGGGAAAGATATGATTATGATGCTGAAATATCGAAAAAAAATTTAATGGTACAAATGTCTTTGTCTCGTTGTTTCCTGCATATCCTACTTTCGATTTCTTTTTCACATGAGCAAGAAGATTGGCTTTGCATGGGTGGAGCCATCTTTGAATTGATAAAACATTAAGAGCATGTAAAAAGGATTTATAACACTACAAAATGAACATGCAGTAGTTGGGTATGAAATTCTCATATTTTAATTGCAAAAAAAGTTTGTTTGTTTGCACCTACTGCGATATGGGACCTCGGGTTAACAGTCTCATCCGAGGGAGCGTTTTCTATGTCCCACAGCGGGATTCGAACCCGGCGGCGTAAGGATCAAGCGCTTTACTCTGCAACTCTAAATCAAACGCTCTAACCTGTGCTACCGTTATAGGTAGAGCGCTCGCTCCGTGATTGCGAGGTCGCGATTTCGAATCTCGGCTGCGACTAAGTCGATAAAATATGTGCAGCAACTGTTCCTGCGCTATGCCCTCGGCACTTTGCAGTAAAAATTGCGGATCCTTCTGATGAGACCTTAAAATCCACAGCAAAATGGCCCTGAGTGCCAAGTAAAGATAAAAATATGAAGCCCTTTACCGGTATATGGTGACGTCTCTAGATGAGAGAAAAATTCTCGAATGGGACATAAAACAACATACAATCTATCTAACAATAGGCGATTTGCAAAGAAAACAAGACGTGTTTGCGAATCGCTGATGCCTCCATATGGCAGCTCAAGACCAAGGATGAAGTTTCAAATGAGTGTCAAACACCAAAATCAAGGTCAAGAGTTTAAAAACATCCAGGTACATAAACATGGACCTTATCACAAGGAATGCACAACTGAAATATACTTAGCAGTCAGAAAAATAAGATCGAGCTGAAGATTTTCAAAAATATGTAATTCTCAAACGTGAAGAATGTAAATAAATATTAAAATAGTCTAACCAAAAGAGAGACCTTGTCTTAAGAAATACACGACTTAAAGAAGGTAATTAAGTCTTATCAAAAATCATAATCGAATTTTTTTTTTTGAAACTTTTATTTGAAATGCATGACAAACTCAAACAACAAGGTCAGAGAGTCAAAAAGATTGAAAACCAAAAGAAAGATAAGATATAGGTGCGATATACAAAAGCCCTAAAATCATCCTTTCAAAAATTTTCGCAAAGATAAAGTTAGTCAAACTCAAAGAACAAGGAAAACTTCTATTTTATAGATCTTTAAAACATCCCAATTACACCGAAAGGAAAAAGAAACGCAGGGTAGCATAATATTCGAAAAAAAATTTGACCGCATGACCGAAAATTACGAAAATTGGTCAGATGAGAAATTTAGTTACATTGCACCAAAATCAGTGTTCAGAATTACTCA